TATTCACCACCAATTCCAGGGGAGTGAAGTTGTGGAAATGAGCGAAGATGTTCTGTCGAAGATGGATTCCTTGATGAAGGTGAATGTCAAGGTGCGGAGTGAATGATGAAAGGGTAATTTAAATACATTGTGATGGTCTCTCAGCCTTTCATCTCAAGCCTTCCCAAGCCCACATTCGCAGATTTGAATACCGCATTTCGAAACCCCATCAAGATATATGGTGAAGTTGAATGATTGAGAGTTGATTTTTCGCTAAACCACACACACACACACACGCTGAAATTTAAAGCAAAATTGTAGAAAAGTCATGTCAGTGAAAATTCCGTTTGTCATCAAGTTGTGCTGAGCGGGGGAAAAAGCCCAGAGAGTGAATGTGACAATGAAATTTTTCCACCCACTCTGCAGAAAATGACGCCATTAATGTTATAACAAGATTATCGAGCATTTTTATATGAGTGCAAGCTGTTAAATTTTCATGCTGGCAGACAACATTAAAGCCTCAAAAATCCACACAGATTCACGAGGGATTATTGAGTTTTATTCTTTACGACTCTCACTCGTTGCCACGCGTATAATTTCATTTTCGGGTCCTTAAGATTTTTTTCTTGTTCCACAAATGTTACAGCGGGCATTTGGGGGTGGCGGTGAGTGGGTGGCGAGGGCGCCCCACGCAAGGGGATGATCAGTGTTGTGACTTGTATCGCGCGAAAAGCCGCACAATTTTGCCCTGATTTGAGCGATCTTCTGGCTCAAGAGCGCGAGATTTCTTCATCTGATAAGGATATTTCTATATCCTTGCAGAATTCCACCCTTGGCAAGCTTACTTGGCCGCCCTTCTATAAATTCTTAGGGTGAATCGAGTGGTCCAGAGCGCCGTGAAGGGTGTATTTGAACATAAAACAGAGGGCAAAATTGACAAAACACATTTTCTGACATTGCATGAATTATGTTGGCGAGCTGAAAAAGGGGAGGGAGAGAAAATATGCGACAACCCCGAGCGTGTGTGTGTGAAAAATGCGAGCTGTCCGACTCTCTCAATGGGGATAAGAAAGTGTAAGTGTGTTCTTGATCTTCCGCTGAGCCTCGTAAATACATCCGACGTGGAGTTGCAGGGAAGAGGTGAAAAATATGAGGTGGTTGAGGCATAAAGTTGTCCGAGGGTGCGGATCAAGGGGGAGATTATATGCCCGAAATCTGTACACCACTTCCAAACACTTCAGCAGACACTTCTGAATGCCTTTGAGGACATTTTTCATCACTTTTTAGACTCCTTCAAGTGCTTTTCTTACTGATTTCTCACTTATCACAATTTAATCTTAGTTTTTCCGTCTTCAAATGCCTAAATTTCAGTTCGAAAATAATTTCTGTTTTGAGTTTTGTCTTGCAAAAATGCTTAGATCAAATTGTGCGGTTTGAAGTCCAGCTTAAAAATCCTTTTTTAACTGATTTTAATCCTTTTTGACTCTAAAAATGAGTAAATATAGCAAATATCGCAATGTTTCTACTGGATAATTCGGATAAATTTGCCAATTTCAAGCACAAACCGCTGAAATAACGAAGAAAAGAGACATTTTTCAAGACTCTTTGAGGTTATTATTGACTTTATTGCTTTTTCTCAACCAATTTGAAGTTTTTTCGCACAAAAATTCTCAACTCTGCGGAGAAAAAGAGAAATAATCTTAGCTATGAAATACAAATTTGACAATTTTGAGGGTTTTTTAATCGTCAATCGATTAAATAACCTAGAAAATCAATAGAAAATTGATTTTTCTACGCAAAATAATTAAGAAAATGTCTGAATTTCTTGAAATAGAAGCTTTTGCAGTGCAAATATTTTACCACTTCCAATTCCAAACAGCTCCTTAAAGGCTGTACACCACTTCCGACCGCAATATCTGTCCCTTGGTGGGGATTAGAGGTCAGGCGGGATAAATCCATCGGGAGGGAATCAATTGGAAGCGCTCTTGAGAAATGAAACGCAGAGAGAGAAAGATATAAAGCTGGAAAGTTGTGTTTGCCCAGACACCTGTCTGATGGATATTTTTCACCTCGCCCTGCTCGAGATTTTCCCGGGGAAAATTACCTCTTGTCACTGGCAGGCTCTCGCCCATTTGCCCTTATCACTCATCCGGCAGGGAATCTGTGAATGTTTGCATTTTAATTGTGAATTAATTAAATGTAATTAAATATCTCGCACAATTCTCCACGGTTCTTCAATTCTGACGCTGCGGAGTTTTGTCAATTAAATGGAACACACTTCCAGGCCACTGGAGGATTTGCAGGAGTTTATTTTCACACCACTCAATGACAATTCAGCAAATCTCACTGCAGTGAGATTAGTTTTGATTGAAGCTAATTGAATGGCACTTTTGATTGAGGTTAATGAAGTTATCTGATGGAATTTCGGCTTTCCATTTCTCTCTCTCTCTCTGGGAAATCACACTCGAATTTTTCACCCAGTTGTATTTCATTGTTACCAAACTGACAGTCATTTCATTTCCCAGGGAAATTTAGATGACTTCCTACCTCAAGTTTAGGATATTTCAATCCATACAAGCAGGAAAAATATCGTGAAAAACTGGGTCGAGAGGCAAAAGAAAAAGTATAAAATAAAAAAAATGGAATATTGCAATTTCTAGCTTGATGTTCAACTTTCATCACTTTAAATGCTTCTTATTTAAATAATTCCTCTCCTCACTGAACATCATCCACCCCCCCCCCCGAAAGACTTAATTTATTGGCGACGCGAAGAGACAGTCTTTCCCAGACTTTCATTGCAAATTACAATGAAATCAGCAAACTTTCTTCATTTGTCACACACCATGTGAAAATTCACATAACTTTTGCCGAGGATACGCTAAATTTATTTTTCCTCTCATCACCCCGAAAATGTGGATTTTCCTTGAGGAAAACGAACGGCGGGGTGGGAAAGGGATGGGGAGAGTTGCATGAAAAACAAATTTCATGACAAATTGACTCCACACAGATTGCCTGGCGGAGAGTTTGAGAAAATGCCACAGGACGCTGTGGGGAAATGCCTGTGACTTATTAATGGGCAAATTGAAAAGCTCAAAAGCTCCGTCGATACACCTTCGCCGCCCGTGAGAAATTAATTACAGAAGACTTTCTCCGTTGCCATCAATTTATTGCCATCAAATTACACAAAATCCCATTCAGTGTCATCTCTCCTCAAATCACACTTCCCATCTCGCTCACTTCCGCAGCACAGCGCTCGTCTGGGGGAAGCGCGCTCTCCTGCGCGCCCTCTCTTTCCGGGATCGGCGACGGTGGCCAGAGGGAGAGCACCGAAGGGAAGTGGCGCTGTTTCACATTTCACCCCTCCAGAATATCACTCTTCCGACCACGTGTTTCGAGGCGCTCAAGCGGGTTTCAATTAAAAATCGCCACCCCAAAAGTGAGAGCTTTTCCCACATGGCGCTGGCCTAAAAATCTCTGTCGAGGATTACAAGATTTCCTCTCGTCACTATCGCCCAATGGGGGATTACCAGGAGCGGCAGAGCCACCCTGAAAGACTCTTGTCAAATTTCCTTGGGGATTGTAAGGCCGACAAAGCGGCCTCAATCAATTGAGCATCAGACTTTGACTGTGAGGAGCGAAAAGGAAAGATTTCTGCAGCGCCACACGATGACCTTCTCGAAGTCGTTCTAAGGAAAACATATTCGTAAAGCAAATCTCGGGGATAAAATTGTACAACATCTTCTTATTTGGCTACAACCTTTTTTCTGTCATCAATTGTGATTCTAATGACGATTGAGAAATCAAAACCCAAGAGAAATCCCAAGTGTCTTGTGTTTATTCTCACCTTGTCAACATTTGATCCCTCCAGAAACTTCTTTCAACCCTTCTGTTTGTACACCCCCAAACTTCCTACCCCAAACCGAAAAGGGGGGGGGGGGAGGGAAAAAGTCAGACAAACTTTTCCTTCTAATGTGTCCTCAACTGTCTCCAGCGCTTTGCTCATTTCTTCATCACTCTAATCTTCTCTGTTTCCACTGTTTGTTCTCCGGTTTTTCCCCCGTGCCATCGAGATCTCACTGACCACGAATCCACCTGGGATGAGTTGTGGCCACTCTTGGCTGCCTGAGTCGGCAATAAAGCCAGGAGTGGGTCTCCTTTGGTGGGTATTTTAAAGTCACGAGATTGCTTTTTGTCTCGCTGGTTTGACTTTCGCATTAGGCATGGTTGGAGGGATAAGAAATCTTATAGTTTTTCATCCGCTTTCATCTCCAAGCAGAGCTCTGGATTGCTGAAGTCAAGGCTGAACTGCTTTGAAATGATTCAAATTTGGAATCTTTCGCAACAAATTGCCACCGAATTTTGCCACACAGAAATCTCGCCGTTTGTAGTTGACGTGACACGATGGGCAAGCAAAGCTCACCTACATTCCCATTTGAGGGTCACTCCACTCCTCAGAGCTGCCATCCAATGAGGAAATCCCCTTCTTGCACTGCACGCCAAGGCGGAGGAATAGGGGATGGACGGGCTGCGGCGCATGCCTGGGCATCCCCTCACTTTCGGCATCGGAGGCACGAGGAAATTGAAAATGTGCCAGTGATTTTTTATCACACCGAGCAAAGAGGGACAGTGGAGAATTTCCCCTGATTGTGGAGAGGAGAGGGATGTTTCTGTGTTGATTTGGCGCGCCGAGCTTTTCGAAAAACACTCCACATTTATTGCCAGAGACAGGTCAGTAAGCCGAAAGCTCGCGGCTGACACGGTTGCACTGGCAGAGGCGCTCGGGAGTTTCTGTTGAGTCTGAGGATTTGCCAAAAAAAGTACACAGCGTCAGGCTTTGGAGCCCTTGGGGGCGATTGTGAAGCGTGGGGGTGGTTCTTTTTTTAATTAGCCCCCAAAACGAATGGGGAAGGTTGGAAAACAAGGAGCGGAAAACATTCAGTAAATATTTAATAAGTTTAATAAGTGCATATTTTGATATTTGAACACATCCGGAGGTATTTTCGGGCTCTCTCTCTCCCACCCTCAGTCCGCGCTCATTTCAAATTCCACCGACGTTGTAATCCTGGCGAGGACTCGCCAGAGGCGTTAGAATTGCAAAACCGAGCGCGCCCGGATGTTTTGCCATCAATGAGTGCTTCGCCATTGGGTCTATTTACCAGAAAAATTGCCCTCCACCTCGGTGTCAATTCATAAATAAATAAGTGGATCTCGGCAGCGGAAAAATAAGCCGAAAAAAAAGTCGTCCAGGGGAATGGAAATGTGTGGCGCCTTGAGACGCTGATAGGAAGACATCCTGTGCAATGAGATCAACACAGTTGCGCTGCAAAGTGCCGGCAATATGAATGCTAATACGGGGTCTCGGGGTGAAATTGCCGTGTAGCTGAGGGTGGCTCAGTGGCAACCAGAAAAACGGACACCACTTCGCTCTCGCCACCCCCGGAAAAGCGCCCCCGAGAGAGAGAGAGTGTGGGACGAATCATTGCATGTCAACGCAGTGAAAGTTTTCACTTTGTGACTTGCATCTCAAACCACCACGGCATTAATTACAATATTAATAGAATTTCCCAGAGCACACTGACAACAAGTGCGCCCGTTTTCCATGTCACTCACGATGAACACGTGAGACAGGCGACTGGTGGAAAATTCAACAATTGTGCACGACATTGTGAAGTGACAGTGTTTCAGCGCCACCACGAAAGATGAAAGTTCGATTGGCCATTAATCTCCTTGTTCTTATCATTAACATTGAGGGTAAGTTTCAACTTTGCAACACACTCTCCGAGTGTGTGTGTGTGGTTTTGTTGGCGAAAAGTCCCAGAATGTTGCAACACGGCGAGCAACAATTCACCGTCTAAATTGCAGTTTAATGGAGTGGAAAGTGTTCAAATGCCGATTTCACCTTGCCTTCTGCAGATAAGAAATCAAAGTGGATTGAAGCGAGGGTGTTTGTATTGAAATGTTCAATGAGAATCCTTGTATTGATCTCCAGTGACGTGCAGAAGTAGCGAATGTTGTTGAATTGAAGAGGTTTTCCGCACACAAAGTGTCTTGAATACTCCAGACATTTGCAGAGATCTTTAAAATGACTCAAATTGAGGCGAGTTGCATATTAAAATCGTGCCATCTTTAGCTACATTTCCAGTCTTTTCCCTCACTTTTCATGCGGCAATCCGAAGAGCTGCTTAGATTCAACAGTATGCAAAAGTATTCTGAGCTATATACTATGTCTCAATGGAAAGGAGTTCAATCATTGCGGCACAAAGTCCTTCTCCCACTCGTGCATCGCAATGATCGATTTATCGAGATGTGGGCGGAAAAGCGTGTGTGTGTGTGTATTGGGGAAAAGCCACCCTCTCGTGAGCGTGATTCTAGCATGGGAAATTCTTTAAATTTCCATGGATTTCACAGAGTGAAAAACACACAAAAGCATGCCAGAGCCTGAGGTATTTTTGCCAAACACCCCCAAGAATCTCATGTGAAATATGACTCAATGGATTGCGGGACTGCCAAAGAGCCGATCATGAGTTGGTGGATCAGCAATTAGGCCAAATGAGGCGCACAGTGTGAAATAACGATGAAAACATCCCCATGGAGAAGTGTATCCTCATTAGGGGTGGGGAAAAAAAATGCACAGAATTAAACTATCAAAAAGCCTCCGCTTTATCTGGCTCCACACATAAATCGCATAATGATGGGGAAATATTTCGTGAAAGGGAAAAGTGCGGTTTGCATTGATATAATTTTGATATGATTTATGGAAAATTTGCAAATTAAACAGTGTATTTTTTTTCCCTCCGCAATAGTAAATGCAACAAATTGTGTAAAATCACGAATCAAATTGCGAAAGAATTCTTGCCATAGATTTTCTCTGCATTTTCTCGGGTGTGAATGAGCAAAAAGAGAACATTGCATGTCAATATTAATATTCTATCCTCTGCCATTGCTCCACTTTGGGGGTGGTCTTGCGAGGAAAATGGGGTGGAAATTGTGTAAATTGCTGCTGTGGCCAAATCTCGTAATTATTGCTCGTGTGGGGAAAATTGTGCTGCTGGGATTTAAGCTTCAGGGAGTTTGAGAAGACACTTCACTTCATCTCGTGTAATGGATCAACGTGAATTAATTGGCAAAATCAGAGTCAAAAATTGATTTCTCACGCAAGTTTCATGCGATTTTGAACGCCTGCCGGAAGGACATTGAACTGAGGAAGTCTTCAAACCACCTGACGGCACTTCATAATTCCCTTTTCAGTGACTTTAAGAGAGCTATAAATATTTTTGACTGCCATATCCAAATGGCTCCGCTTTTTATTTCACCCCGCGGAGAAGTGTGAGTGAAGGGTGTTTTTGTGGAAGGGTGAATTTTCATCGCGGGTGGCATGAAAGGCCACTGGCCCCCTTTTGCCATTAAAATAAAAATCATCATTACACTTTTTGCCCATTAAATAACGATGAGGTCACGGATCACGGTGTCTATTGTGTCGATTGGGGGGTGGATTTCATATTATCATCGCGGGACGACGCCAGGACGCACATTCAAAATTAATAGTCATCGTTAATGGATCGGCGTCGTCCGGCCATAAGATATTTCACAGCCTGGTCGGAATGGGGCATTAAATCCGATGTGTAAAAGAATGAAGAATTGAACTTCAACCCGATGAAGACACTGTATTAACGCGCCATTCAGCAACTTCTCTCCATTCTTTCGCCGTCTTCCTTTTTTCTTCCTTCCCCGCACACACACACATTCAGACAGAGGAGCCCCTTTCCGACCACCCTCGAGGATCACAGACCACAGCGAGCGAGAGAGAAAGACCAATAAATTCCCAGATCCAATCAATCAAAATTCAATTTCCTGATTTTATCACAGCGCCCCGCGCATCCTTCCTTCCACAGGCCTCCTTTTTTCGCCATGTAACATTGACTCCGGCAGTCGGCGATAATTAATTGAAATTGTGATAGACGGAACAAAAGTGACTGTTTCATTGTGCTTTGGCCCGCAAGACGCGCGCGCGGGCGAAAGGGGGAGAGAAAAGAAGTAACAATTGAGGATTTAATTTCTATAATGATGAATATCCCTTGACAATGGGGCAGGAAAACAGGGCTGTTTGTGGGTGGAAAAAGATATTTGATACACTCCGAAAAATTTAATTCACTACGACTTCTCTTTGTGCTTCTTCTGTGCCTTTAATTTGTGCCCTTTAATGGAGATCCAGAAGTGATGAGAAAAAAAAAGCCACAATGAAAGGACGTGATAAGCGAACGCTTATGGTCAGCTGGGCGCAAACTACTCGAAATGTGGCAGACTCGACCAACCCTGTTTGAATAGAAACATTTCAAACTGCCATAAGTCAGGTTTTATGGAAATACTATGGAAATACTTAAGAAATTATCTCAACTTAGTGTGACCTTGGAATAAAATTGTCGGGTTTAAAATTTAAAAAATTTTGTCAGTGACATTAGCGCCTCTGGCGGTGGTCTGATGAACTTCTGTTCTTCTTGGTAGTTTTAGAGTTCTGCAAGAGCTTTCCAACGAGTCCAAAATCGGATCGATCGGGAAAGTAGAACCGAAGTTCTAGCGTATTGGAAATTAAAACTTTGAACAGTCATAACTCCGGTTCTATTGACTCGGTGAAAAGTTATAACATATTTTTAGAAACGTCTTGATCTGGACTACAACATACTAAAATTTCATCAAAATACATAACAGATGTGCCGAGAGACAGGCGTTCAAAGTTTTTACCAATATGAGGGCATTCCTTATGACATCATAAACTAATGGTAAATGTAGCGTACGAAAGGGCGTCGAGATACGTCTTTTGGTGAAGAGATAATCAAAATCGGTTGATAAATAGCGGAGATATAAGCCAATAAATGTGTCAACTTTAACCTTTCGTATTTCCGCACACAAAACATCTAGAGTCACAAGTAGGATATTGTTGGAAAGATCTTGAGGTCAGCTATAATATACCAGAATTCGGACCTGATCAATGCCAGAGTGGCTGAACAAATGAGGAAAGTGTATTTTGGGGGTGTTCAAAATGGCGGAAGGAGGGATGGAGAGTTGGATTTGGCATCACCAAATTCTAGCGGCAGTAGAATTTTGGACCTGTGGTGAAAATCGCATGATGATATCTCTTATCGACGGTTGGAAATCAAAAAATGACCCCCTTTTTTCGTCATAATTCGCCTCCCTGATGCCATTTAGTCGATTTTGTGTCATTTGATTCCTTGCGTGATTACAGAAAGAGCCGGGTTTTGCCCAGCTCAATTTTCACTATCAACAGCTACAATAAAACTTTAATTCCAGAGAGAGAAAAAGTGAAGAAGGACTTTTTCTTCCCCACAAAACATACTCAATTAACATATAAATTCCAACAATTTGTCTGAGTGCTGAAAGAACTGGCGATGGAGCTTTTAGAAATCACTCACGTCACTGGGAAGTCATTGAATGCATCATCAATTGTGTGTCATACAGTGTATTGTCACCGAATAATTCTGTTTCGATGGTGTTTAATTAATTATTGTCGCTTGGCTCATTAATCCAATTGCTGTCACTCCATATCGAGATGATCTCGCGATGTTTTCCATTTGGCTTCAGCTTACTAGAGGGGGTTTTTCCCCATATAAACAGAAAAAATTTTTCCATTCTCTTGAATGACAAACAATAAATATCATTAGCAAACAATCCAATTCCATAAGCCCTCAATTATCTGGCAATTTTTCAACTCAATTGCTCAATAATCATCCCTCATCGCTTTTTGATATGTTTTATGAATCAATTAGTGCTTCAGATATTTATTTTGCCAAATTGCTCCAATGAAATGTGTGGTTGGAAGTTAGTGAAATTACAAGCGCGCGAGCCTTCGATGTTTTGCCAAATAATCACGCTGAACCCTGTTTAATATTTCCTCCCCCTGGTATTTGCGCGAGATGAAAGGAAAGCTCAAATTGAGGTAACACAAATATTGCTTGAATACTTGAAATATATGGGTAAATTTTTTTTATTCCACATCCGAAACTTGCTTTTGGAAGCAATCTGAAGGAGTGCGGATGCTTTTTCAATACATCGCCCAGTGATACATTAAATCAAATTTGTATGTATTGATGAGAATCGCCTCTGGGGAGAGTGATTTATTTGCTGATTTCATCAAATTCATGTGACAGAAATAATTGAAAATATTTTATTTAATATGTGGGTTCTCAGCATGAGCATTTTGGGTCGCGTCACATCAGCAATTATTGCGGATAAAGCTCTTATCACGGGAATAATATACATCAATTCAAGTGATGCAATTCAAATTGTACATCGCTAAAAGCCATGGAATATGATTTTCTTTTGCAAAAATCAATTATACAATAAGCTTGTTGGCATGCTAATGTTGCTGTCAATTAGAATGTGTCACTAAAATGTATCAGAACAGCGTCAAGGGGGAGATATTGTGCCCTGTGCAGAATCTTTAACACTTCAGACACTTCTGAACGCTTTAAGAAAGACATTTTTCATTTAGTTTTAGAGTTTTTCAACTGTTTCGCACACTATTTTATAACTTATTACAATCTAATCTGGGTTTTTATGTTTCAAGAAATAATCTTAAAATCCCCTGTCTTGATTTTCTTATGAAATCGACCTAAAAATCCTTCTTGGGCTTATTTAAATCCTTTCAACCCCAGAAATGAAGAAATTAAAGCGGATATCACAATATTTCCACAGGAAAATGAGGTTATTATTCGATCATAACCTCAAATAAAAAA